TTCTGTCTCTTTCCATTATTTGTTTATGTTTATTCAGCCACTTGATTACATCAGTGAGCCACTCAGATATGTTTGTAAGCATGTCATGTGACTGGTAATATTCTGATTTGTAAGGACTTTCCATGACTCATCATGTTTTGTCATGATTCATCATGCTTTGTAATATTTTACAGTGTTTTGTAATATTTTACTCATGTACTTTAGTAAGCAGCTGATTCAGCACACCAAAAGGCTTGGTTTGTAAGCATAATCTTACCAATCCAGTGATGACTCATTGCTTAGTAAGGATGGTTTCTAAAATGTATATAAGGACTCCATTCTCACATAATATATAAGTTTTTCCCCTTCCATTCTTTTCCCAAACCATGTGGGAACGTAGGAATTTGAAGTCAGGAGTTTTCCCACTTTCTGTCTCAACACTGTGAGATCACGAAGAAAGTGAAGGCCTACAAGTTGCCTTTGAAAACAATAATATTCACTTAGTTTAGATTGATTGTATACTATCTTACAGGGATCGCCTATACAATAATCTATTGTTTTATCCATCATTTTACATATTCGTGCCACATTCAGTTCAGAGAGGTTCATATTACCTACTAGGTTTAAGTTAACCTGACAAAATATATATACTCCTTTACTATCGAGAAGTGATCTAGCAAAGAAGTAATTTATTACCCTTTGGCCACCCACAAACACCACATTATCAACCGAGAAGTAGAAAATCCATTGACCGTGAACTTGAGGAGCTGGCACCTTAGTCTTAAAGAGTACAATTGTGATAGTCATTGTATTCTGTTCAACATATAAGACCCTCAAGTAAGAAGACAGCGGATGCCCTATCACGTCTCCAACCAGACAACGACGAATTGCCGAAGTATGTACAACAAACAGCTGTAGAGATTCACATTTCACCAGGCTCATATGTACCAAATTCACGGCTTTTCACGACGCACTCGATATCCTTACAACGCGCTTCTAATACGACTTCCACGCAATGCGCACTTTGGCGTGTACCAGCGCGTTCAAGTGCGTTCGAGCGCGTTACGGTGCACTTCGTCGCATTTCCTTAGGATCCGTCGCCTGTCCTCCGCATGTCCCATCCTAGTCCTCCAAGGTCCATTGGTGCGTTTTCCCTTCTTCAGATCTCATACTCCATCACGCAGGCACTAGTACTTATCATCATATCTCGTTATGGACCCTGACTTACCTCACCATTTACCTTAGTACTTCCTATTTGGCTCCGAGCCGTGGGAACTCGCTTAGCATACCTACACATCACCATGTTTGTTTTCCGATCACTTACTTCCACTCCACTACCATCGAAGTGTATAGCTTGAGTTTCTATCTGAATACACCGGTTTTCCTTCCTATTGGCGCTTTGACACCTTTAAGTGTCTATTTCTACATCTATCAAAGTCCTGATTCCCCATTTGATTGTCATCTCTACTCGAAGCACTCCATTGTGATCGCACAAAGTGCGCTTTGACATTGAAGCGCGCTTTTCCGCACTTTCCACCTTATTAGCGCGTTTAGGTGCCTTTAGCTAGCGCACTTCGCTTTTGGGTGCATTATTTGCCTCAGAGTCCCATTCAGACTTCGAGACTGAACCGCTGGTTATAGATCCCCCTCACCTTTCAATAGAGGAATCTTTCTCAGTAGCAATCCCCTTGGGACGACTTTCCACTCGTATCCAGAGGAGCACTTGAGAGCCCACTTCCCACTCTTCCCCCTAGCACGCAGCTATCATTCCTCGCCCTCACAGCACACATGCCCGCTGCGGTCGGAACACACATCAAACCAATCTCTCTTGTCCTGTCAGTAACGCCAGACACTTCACTGCTGAAGGACATCAAAAGCGGCTACTTGACAGATCCTTGGTGCGTGAAGTTGTCAAAACTGACAGAATCACTGCCAGGACTTCAGCAATGAGACGGTGTGGGTATCACAACCTGGCAGGCACATATAAGAAAAGTGCTCAGCCAGTATAAGTGAGTCTCAGCTCTGCCTAGCTGCTATACTCGCAGAATGCAAGAACGTTCGACCCTAAAGGGGAAGCAAGGAAAGCAAGGATCCACGGAATGATGCTGATCAACCCTGGTGAATGGCGGTGAAAGTGCGAGAAAGCGCGCGCGGGAAAGCGAAGTGCGAAAGTGCGCGGAGCGCGGGAAGGTAGTGCAAGCGGTGCACAGGTGTAAAAGATATATACTGAGACTGATAAGAGGGAAAAGCGCGGATCTAGATGGATACTGATAGTGCCACTAGCTATAGACTGATGCTAGGGCCTCAAGATGATGATGGATATGTGCATTGCATGGGCTAACTGGTGATAGATACTGAGTGGTAGGAAGGTGGTGGTAGGAAGCTAAGGTGGAATAGTTCGGGTGTAAAACGAACATGAGAGTATGTAAGTTCTACCTAAGCGCTCTCCCAGGGCTCGGAGCCGAATAGGAAGCGCTCTAAGTATGTAAGTGAGGTAAGGTGATGTAAAGTAAGGGTGCATAACGAAATAGGAAGTGTAATATGCCAAATATGGTCAGATAACGAAAAGGGACATACCGAGGGACTGGTTGGACGATGGATGGATGCTCCTGGATGATGTGCGACGCAGTGCGCTTACGCACGAGAAAGCGCGCAAGGCGCGCACGCGGGAATACTGCGCGTTGTGCGGGAAAGTGTCGCGCCTATGGCGCGTTCTGGGGGAAAGTGGTGCGCTCTATAGGGAATGACTAGAGGGTGATGGTGCGAGTTGTGCCGTGAAGGCCAGTCATCAGAATTCGTAATATGAGCCCATATGAGCCTGCAGAAACGCGAGTCTCTACAACGGGCTGTTATACCTTAATGAATGGCTGATCATACCTAGGGTAACACACCTTAGAGAGACAATATTTTGTCTCCCACACGACCATCTTGGCCATTTCGGCATCGACAAGTCCTACGCAGCAAATCGACAATCATGCTACTGGCCAAACATGAGACGCAACCTTGAAGAAAGTTACATACCTGCATGCCCCAAATGTGCTAGAAACAAGAGTTGTACAATGAAACCAGCTGGACCTCTGCATCCCCTACCAGTACCGGACCACAGAGGTGAGTCAGTCGCTATCGACTTCATAGGTCCACTGCCATCAGAGAGAGGATTCGACGGAATCATGACTGTCATGGACCGACTGGGAGCCGACATCAGACTGATACCATGTTGCATGAACATGAACACACGGGAGGTCGCGAACCTTTTCTTCGACAACTGGTACTGCGAAAACAGCTTGCCATTGAGTGTAGTATCAGACTGCGACAAACTTTTCATGAGCAAATTCTGGAAGGCCCTACACCGCCTGACCAGAGTAAAGCTAAAGATGTCAACGGCCTATCACCCACAAACTGACGGTGCGAGCGAATGTACCAACAAGACTGTTGATCAAGCGCTCAGGTACTTCATGGATCGACACCAAACGGGATGGGTGAACACCCTGCCAAGAGTAAGATTCAACATGATGTCAACAACTAACGCATCGACAGGATACACTCCATTTCACCTTCACCTTGGACGAATTCCACATCTCCTGCCACCACTAACGCAGGACGGCATTCACTCAGCATGAGAGGACTTCCCAACAGACATCACTAACACCCTGGAAGCTATCGTTTCACTAAAAACCGACATCGCAGATGCACATGACGCCCTACTGGCATCGCGAATCGCTGAAGCAAACAGCGCTAACACACACAGGGGTGATGAACCTACCTTCGACATCGGAGACTTTGTATACCTTTCAACGGTGCACAGAAGATGAGAGTACCTCAATGGAAGTGGCAAGCGAGTGGCAAAATTCATGCCACAGTTCGATGGCCCTTACAAAATAGTGTCTGTGAACCCTGAGTCATCCACTTACACTCCAGACCTGCCTGATCATACTAACGTTTATCCCACCTTTCATGTATCGGAGCTGAAGTGTCACATTCCCAACAACGCTGAACATCAGTAAACTACAACTTTCTCACAGAGGTCACAAATTTGGCGTCTAGCGACAGGAAGCCACAGCGCTCTACAGTTCATGCAGGCTCACAGATGACAGCAATGAAGCACTCACAATTCAAACAGACACCTAGTTAACGAGGCTCCTACACTAACTTAAGAAGTACTGTACTAGTACTAGTACTAGTAGTATGTTCTATTATTTCAAGTTAGTTAGTAATACTCGTTAGAACCTTCAAGTTAACACTTATACTAAACTTGAAGCAGTTAATTGATTAGATCAAACAAACACGCCATATATCATACAAAAATTGGTTGCTCAAAAAATCTTTATCAAAGGCAATGTAAACATAAGCTCAACATAACTACATATACGAAATATATGGATGACAGCACAACCCAACATGACGGTACTACAACACAACTGATACAACACGACTCTGGATATTGATTAATTGAGAACAATCGTCGGGCGCCAGCCCTGCGATACTTTCATTCCTGAACATTAGTAAGACCAACAATATTGCAAGAGACAGACTTACCATGCGCACTTGACTGTCCTTGTTTTTGTGATGCATGACTGGGAGGGATGTGGGACCAACTGTGATCTTTAAAGACAATCCTCATACATCCCAGCCCTATGTCTGTCTGATCGATTTTCTTCTCAGCAGTTGCTACTTGGATTTTGAGCAGATGCGCACCCACCTCATTCTCCCATAGCACACAGTCTGCAAGTGTCTTCTGTGCTTGGAAAACATCTCTCTTTGCTCTTACAAGATCAAGCACAAGGCTTGCCTCGGAGTCAGTTGGTTCGTGGGCTCTGGACTATTGAAATGTAAGGTGTGATAAGGAAGACAGAAATGAGAAACGAGGACTCACTAGTGACTCGATAGCTTCAAGAACTCCGTATAAGTTGCACATACCACCAGGTGGTCCCCCATTAGCTTCATTGTCACGGTTGGTGTAAGAATAATGAGTGGAATTATCAGAGCAGGAAGCAAGCGATGATAGTGATTGCAGAGTATTAATGTCGAACTTTAGCGATGAGGATAACATGGATTCAGAGACTCGGTCAATGTAAAGCAGGGGCATCTGGAAAGTGCCAAATTCACCCACTCTTTGCTTTTCTTAAGTCTGTGACTCAGATATAGTGTGTTATGGCCCCAGCTCATTGTCCATTGTGCAGAAAAGAATTTCTGGATCATACATCAGTCGCTCGTCATATGAGCCAACCACGGTCTGGATGCAATAACTGGCTAGAAGATCTGATCCAACTCAACTCCACCCTGCCACTCACCGAAGATTCTATGCCGGTAGACAATACTATTGACAAAGTGCCCTCTTATGAACAAGGAGAGGACATGAGTTTCTATGATTTCAGCACTAGGGAAGGGATTTGGACTTTGAGCAAGCATCTGGAGGCAGAACTCCGGACAAGGGCAGTGAGGTAGTTACCGACTATTTTCCGCAGCCCCCACTGGCTTTTGAGGAGGGCTACACATTTCTAAGCCTATTCGATACTGATGAAAACAGTGTCTATCATAAAAGAAATCTATACTATCCGTTCAGTGAACAGCAGGCATTCGAACGAATGGTTGGGTCGAGGTTGAGAATTGAATCAACAAAGTTTTCGGAGGACCAAAAAAGACCTTACTTCAGCTATTCAACAGTCTCAATGAAAGAACGGATGGACAAACTATTCAGGAAATGGTTAGAGTTCGAGAGGTGAGCCTGACACTTTGATAGTATTCATCAAACCCTAATAAGTTTTCAGTCGATTGAAGGGAATGGCAACTTGCGTCATGGCTTCTTCATTCAGGCTTGAGCATGGGGAAAATCAATGATTTCCTAGCGCTAGAGATTGTGAGTGTTAAATTTGAACATCACCATGACAGCTTAGCTCAAAGAGCACTTAGATCAATGATCTACCTTTATCCTTCTGCTCAGCAAAAGATTTGTGAGGTCGGGCTGAATTGTTACCTAGCGGTCCACGTTGAAAATCTCAAGTTATTCCTACGTCGCATCCCACAAAGTCTCCTGCAGTTCTCTACTGGCGGGATCCGCTTGAATGCATCGCTACTCTATTCAACCATCCTTTATTTCACAATCACATAGACTACACAGCTCGCAAGGTGTACAGCACAGCGGAGAAGCTCTCTCAGTTATATACTGAATGGATGACAGGCGAACATGCCTGGGAGATGCAGGTGCATGATGCAGTCCCTCCTAAAGTTATTGCCTCATGCGTTATTGTAGTCGGCACTTCCCCATGGTGCAACTCTCCTCGGTACCATTCTATCCTCAGACAAGACATGCATTACTGCATTGTCGGGCGATCATGTTGCGCATCCTCTCCTTATCAGTCTCGCCAACATTCACATGAACACATGGCTAAAATCATCTTCAAATGCCTTCCTTCTCAGTGCCCTCCTTCCGGTCCCAAAATTCATTCACAAAAATAAATGAATGAAAGGTGTGTTGCAAGATCGGCTCGTTCATCATTGCCTAGACATTGTACTACAACCTCTGAAGTTGGCTGCTCGAAATGGCACCATGTTGTCTGATCCCATCGGACGCAGCCGTTATTGTTTCACAATGCTCGCTAGTTATATTGCGGACACACCAGAAGCCATGATGTTGGCATGTGTCGGTGGAAAGACGTCCCCAGTGACTATGGCGATGTACAAAGATTTTGAGGACCCCTTCCAACATGAGCCCCAGACACGACCGATAACTCTTGCACAACTGGAAATCATGTGTTCACATGCTTGTCCAGATGACGTCGAGGCTTGTTTCTGCGAAGTGCAGAAGTTTCGCCTGAATGGTGTAGACAACCATTTTGGTCGGACTGGTTGCTGGCAGATCCCTCCCAGTTTTTCACGCCTGAATCACTGCACCACATTCATAAGGAGTTTTGGGACCATGACACCCAGTAGATTATCCTTGCAGTGGGAGGGTCCGAGATAGATTTTCGGTTTTCCATTATACAGCCCACCACTGGTTATCGACATTTTCATGGAGGTATCTCCAAAATTAAGTAGGTTACGGGTCGTTGTCACCGGGACATTCAGCAATCCATCATCGCGGTCAGTGCGGATGCAGCATCTGCTGGAGTTATTGTTGCTGTACATGCGCTTATGCACTTTTGTTATCTTGTGCAATCACTGTGCATTGACAACAAGGATCTCAGTCGCATTACAGCTGCACTGGACGAGTTCCATGCAAACAAGCATGCGATCATCACTGCTGGTATTCGCCAGGGAAAAGGCGGGTAAAGTCATCGACAATTGGCAGATCCCCAAATTTGAACTTATGCAGAATATCGTCCATAGCATCCGCAACTCTGGCGTTATAGCCCAGTGGTCTGCAGATGTTACTGAGCATGCTCACATCACTGAGGTCAAAGACCCTGCAAGATCTACCAACAATAATAATTATGACCTGCAAATCTGTCGTCATCTTGACTGTGCTGATAAATTCAATCGTTTCAACCTTGCTACTAGCCTTTTGGATCGTTTGCAGAGTGAAGACCTGGGAATTTTTGGAGATGAATTTGTTGAGGATGACGAGATTGACAATGACACGAATGACTCTCCCGCAGAGCTACTGTCCCCAACTCGAAGACCCAGACAACCACGTCCTATCACAAACTACTTTTCAATCACAAAAATACTCCAGCACAAGGAAATTGGATTGGTACCCATCCCACTATGTTCTTTTATCGTCGGGCGCACCGCTCTTCATCTTTCCTATGATCCATCCATCAGGAATGCTACCATAAATGAAGTCGCCATCATGTTCAGCCTACCGGACTTGCGGCCGGCTATCGCAGATTTCCTTCACTGTGAGGCGACCTATGGCAATCACATGCACTCAATAGGTGGTCCTAGAAGGTCTGCACATGATGCTGAACTTCCATTTGAGAACCTTCAAGTGTGGTTCAAGATTCGTTTGCAGGAGACTGATTTCCATGATCCCTGTAATGTTCAACCCACTCAAATGCTCAACTGCGCACCACCTAGTGACCCATGGACCTTAGGTTGTTATGATATGGCCATTATTCAGACCAACTCAGGGCACACTTGGCCTGCCAGTGGCCTTTCAGGTACATTATTTCTGTCTTTAAGGGCAATATTCACTAAGCTAAAGAATGACCCCCCACAGGGCACTCCATTAGCCAAATTAGGCTTATCATTCAGCCCATTGGTAGAAGTGGGACGCCATGGGCATGGGATGATCAGTTCCTAACATACATCCAATGTTTCAATGTCTCTAGTGAATGTGATCCGACCACCCAGCTCCATACACTGAAAAGGGAAAACACTTGAATGGCACACAGATGGGCAATGTCATTCCAGTCTCTCAGCTTAAAGCACCTATCCATCTTGTTCCCCATTTTTGCGCCACTACGGACACGCATCTCACGGCATACAACAGCTTGGAGCATGCAACGGAGTTTTGGTTAAATTATTTTTGGGATAAAAATACCTTTTTTGCACTATCCAAGTAGAGAACTTGCACCATGTTCATACTTCATCAGTACCATTTTTGTACTAAAAGATACATCATGTACATATCATAGCACTTAGGATTCTGCATTTGTTGAATGACATTGTCGCTCTTCTACTCAGTCATGGCACCCGCAGATCACAGCAAAACTGTAGACTTCGGAATCAAGTTAGTGTCACTGATGTCAGCTCCCCATGTCAGTGATGTGCCTACGATGGACAAACTCACCGATCTCGAGCTCAATCATTTGATTGTAGAGGAGGAAGTACCAGCTGATTCCCAGCCTCTTAGTTACTTGTTGTCGCGGATTTTCAGGACATTTACTATTGAAGTCCCAGACTTGACAGAGCTCCATGTTCCGTTACATAAAATTCATTATCACGATACCAGACTTCACATTAAATTTGCTCACCTTGATGAACAGTCTATGGTTCCCTTGTATGACAAAGACAGCTGTACATAGGTGGAACTGGGCACTTCCCAGATCACATCGTGAATCTGGCATTGATCAGTTACCCGAACTCAAAGTGATTGGAGATGGAGAAGAGAATAGGGGTGAACAAGGAGTCTGGGAGTGGGGGGTAGTAGTGGCGAGGGCCCATCAATTCAACTTGGGCAGCACCCTCCGGACGCCACCAGTGGTGATACCAGCCAAAAACCACAGACATTGGAGGATATCTTTTCGTCGTTCTTCAATGCTACATGTGGTGCTGTTGTTCAGCAGAAGCGAGAACAAATCATGGCAGTGAATAGCGGAGCAGTGATTCGTACATGGAGCTCACAGAACTCCTCGCGCCCCGTGAAGGATGATGAAATGTCACAGAAGCCTGACCTTGCATTGTTGGACAATGTAGAGGCTCATTGGGATACCATCAAAGCTGTCTGTGAATTGACATCGCAACCCTACACACCTTCAGGCACGATTGGAAAAACACTTGACAGTAAGGCCTACCTTCTCTTGAGGCGCCAGCCTTGGAGGTGGTTTGTTTTACTCTTCTCCCTTACCAATGAGTACCGTGAACTACGAGTTCATATGTACGACCATGCAGGTGGTATCTTAACGCCTCCCATCCATATCGACAAGGCTCCCAACCATTACCTGCATATCTTGTCGAGCGTCGCCTTCGGTCATCTTTAATGTATTGGTTACGACCCCTCCATTAGTATTTTCACCAAAACACTTCGCCCAGCCCAGCTCAAAAACCCAATTCTTCGCCCTTCTACTAGACAACAAACCACACTAGATCAAACGCACAACCCCCAGATGGATGGTGCAACCCAAAGCACTGTACCAAAGATGTTTATTGATGCACCCAAGTCTGACTTGGAGATGGACTCAGACGTGAAGATGCCAGACTCAGAGTTGAACTCAGAGAGCCTCCCTACAGACCCCCCTCAGCTAAATATACTGGAAGACCCTCTTTGCCAACCCTTTTCAGAACCGATCAGCAGGATCATAGTTAATGATCACGCATACAACATCCTCAAACTGATTTTCTCTAGTCAGGGGCTCATTGGTCGAGGCACCGTCTGTTATTTAGCCAGGAGAGACGAGGAAGAATACATTATAAAGGACCATTGGGTTCTTGGGGGTAAAGATGATGTGTTAAATGAAGTTGACATGCTGCAGGAGATGGAAGGGGTCCACGGCATGCCAGAACTGGTCGAATATTGGCTTGTCAAGATTGCGCCTGGGGAAGTCGATGAAACTATGAGTTATCAATACAAGGTGTTTGGAAGTATCAAAGGTACCTCTTGTACGCATCTGCATTTGGTTCTCAAGCCCCACGTGCGACCTTTACATGCGTTCCAGACTAAATTAGAGTTGGTAGGCGCTCTTCGAGACATTGCCAAAAGTGTGTACTGTATCTGGTCCGTCTTTTACATTCTACTGACGTATTCATCAGTTCAACAGACAGCAGTTGAGGAGTGCGAAATTCTTCACCGTGACTGTAGTCTTAACAACACTATGATCTGTGATGATGGCAATGGGGGTCGGGGAACCTTGATCGATTGGGAATTTGCCGTGCATATTGTTGCAGGTCGAAAATATGCTATTTGTGGAATGGTCAGTACTACTCTATTGCTGTAAGAATCAATGTGCTCACAACAATCATCAGGGTACATTGCCATTCATGTCTCGTTCTCTTCTGTGGCAGCTCTCAGAGGCTGTTGGCGACCCGGCGACATCTGTTCGCAGCTGGAAGGCGAAGCTCGCAATGCAGTCCCTTGCAATGCCCCCCCCTCTTATACTACACCACTACCACGACGATCTTGAATCTCTTTTCTATGTCTTCGTGTGTATCTGCATCGAATTCAGGGGTCCCCTTGGTGTTAGACGTGATCTTTCAGCTGATAGGACTCAAGAGTGGCTACCGTATCAATGCTCTACCAACACGTTCCAAGAAGCCAGCAATGTGAAGACTTCATTTTTTTTCCACCCAAATGTGCACAAGCTCAAACAACAATTTCACCCCTACTTCTCCAGTCTACTCCCACTTGCAAAGCAATGGTACAAGTTGATCAGGAACAAAGGACCATATCTAAAAGTCGATGAACGTAATATAATAAAAGGTTGGATGGGCTGGACGATGGAAGTCGCGCCCCAGCCCAAGCAGGGTATGTTACGAACTAGGATAGTTCAGACGTATGGCTACTCGATAAGAGTAATTGGCCAAGGTCGTTCAAGGCTTCGGCGTATACCGAAGTTCGATGTTCTAAGACAAGGCAAGGAGAGTGTCCTCGACTCGAATCAAGTTCAATACGACTTAAGATTGGAGGTCTTAAGCAAAGGAAGTTCCAGGTAAAACCTAGTAAGATTAAAGTAAAGAACTACATAGTACAGGACGGGTTTATATAGTGAATGGTAACGACTTTAGGGCCGGTACGATGAGGTCATAGGACGAGTCAGAGATAAGACGAGTCAAAGATAACAAGAATAGAGATGAGTCAAAGATAACAAAGACGAGTCAGAGATAACAAGAATAGATCATCTAGCGACGGCAAGATGTGATCGTGATGTAATACAATGATGTAAGAGAAGGAAAATGAATAGGGGCGTACTTGACTGTAACAGGGTAGAACTACATAATTGTTCTTTATAATTGCAATTTTTTCTCATATCAGTACCTCACATCAGTTGATAGCCCCTTTACGTGTACAATGAACGCATTGTTCTGACAGCGATGGAGATATTCCCACCCAAGTTCAAACATGCTCGGCTACTATACACGAGTTCAGTTTTACACATTTGCTCTCAGCCTACCGCGTTTTGACTCAATGTCAAAGCAGACTTGTGGACTCGGCTACATCTCACCAACCCCATCCATGGTCTGTGCTGTGCTGTATTACATTTGGCACGCTTGTGCATTGACGTGTATGATGTTAACTGAGTTATTCTATTCTAAGTGCTTTTCAAGGTGCGATGGGAGCTAGATTTAAAAGGTGAGTATCTGTAAATTGTTAGCATTGTGGTTCATCTCTCCCCCTTCTTTGCAAGTCATGCCAGGTAGCCCCAAGAAAAAGAAAATGAAGTGGAAAGCTACAGAGTCCGATCTTAAGGCACCCGAAGGGCAAGAAGGTCTGGTGAAGAGAGTGCATGCTCAAGCTGACGATCAAGCAGATGAGTCGCAACACCGTCGATGTTCGGGACGTCCAGGTGCTGGGAAAGGAGGTAGAGGCACTCAGCTGGAGAAAATTGGCGCCATCTTGCATGCCCAAGTATGGACCAACCAAGCCAAGGGTGCTACATCCCTTGATCTGAACGTTCCCGCAAACCCTCTCGCTCCAGAACCGCCTCGCAAGGGTCGCAAAAGCCATTCCAAGGTATTTTTATCCTGTTTATGGGGTGCAATACTAACCAGACATTCAGAATAAGCAGCCCCCTCCACCATATAGCCCTTCAGAGACGCTGCATGCAACAACTTCCAAGTCACGCTCAAAGAACAAGGTGAATTTTTATTCTGTGACTATATATGTACTAATTCTTCTGTGACTATATATGTACTAATTCTTCTGCAGATTCCCATCGCTCCTACCCTGAGCCTTCAACTTTTGAACGATCAACCAACTTTTGCGCAATGTGAAGCTGGCGGACAATATGGATTTTCACCCCCGATTGTTTCCATTGTTCCCCCTGGCACGGAACCAGATCTTCAAGTATTAAATAATTCCTTCATGGCCGATGCTAGGAGGCAGCACGCACTGTCTGCTTCTGACACCTCTTGAAGTCAGACTCACATTGGTACCTCTAACTCATCTCAATTTCAGGCTCCTGCTTCCGAAGCTCACCATCTGACCAATGCTCCTCACATCACAGATCCAGTACCTTCCAGGACAACTTCAACTACTGCGACGTTATCAGACACTACCTTCTATGATAACTTGAATCCTGCCCTCTGGTTGAGTTCACCACTAGGAGCAGATTCCGAAGAGTCAGACACGTCGAAGGATGAAGAAACATCTGGTTTGGATGGTGGTAGTGAAGACAGGCAGATCGGTTGGGGAGAAGTTGGTGGGCATCATAACGCACATCCTGGCATGACCTTCTTTATTTTCCATCATGTTGCACTGACGAATGACAGGTTTTTCAAGAGAAGAACTACCTTCCCAGCCTCAAGTGGTGACTGCACTGCCAACAGATTTCGAATTTCAGCACACGTGATGAAGATGATCAAGTGGCCGAGAGAATTTTAGCGGTTGATGGTGATTTGGGTGAGGGTAGTACAATGACGGATCAAGAGAGCTCTCCCCAGGTATGAACTTGATATATTGCTGGAGTATACTAATTTATCATTTAAGCTGGATGATGTCTTGAGAGTTCACCATGGGAAAAAACGGCCATCCCCGCCTTCCTGACCCCGCCCTTCTAGAACTTCTCTGTGCTGGTGAGGTAGATGCCCCCAATTCGAAGGCAAAACCAAAGGCAAGATGGAATCGGAAATTGAAATTGAAATTGATGCTGGATGCCAGATCCAATGATGAAGGGCCCAAAGCTTCACAACTGGGTTGGTATAGTTCACGCTGGAGGAGTTTTCTTGAAGATGCGAAGGGGGAGTGTCATACCCAGCAAGCGTTGGAAAACCCATTTCCAAGCCTTGTTGTTGACATGCCGGTCTCAATCACTGAATCACTCTCTGCATCCCTTGTGCAATGGCTCAAAAACGGCCACCAAGTTGACGCTGGTAAGTCCCTGTTTCCTTCAAGATAGTCAATTGACTTGGAGCATCCAACAGGTGTGTGGCCCGAACACAAACCTGACATGGCAAGGCTGGTGTGCATATACATTGTCGTACGCTTCATATCTTATTTATTTTCTAGTTGTACAATGACCTGGCAACTTGGCGTTCTGAGCTGAAAAAATCATCATCGCTATTGCACCTTCCACGTATGGCCTTGTCCTGCCAGCTGACATTCCCATTCAGGAGCACGCAGCTTGGGTTGAAGCCGCTGCTGAAGAATTACTGGACAATGGCAAGTTTCTGCACCATGGACTAAACGATTTAGGGAAAACGAGGAACTTTGCTCACCCCGCGCTCCATGAAGCTATCATTCTATTCATGTATACTGGAACTTATCGCATTGCTCATAGGCGACCAGGTATTTTTCGGAAAGAGGTACCATTGAAATGTTTGGCTCTTGTTTGTACAGCAGTACTTTCTCAATAATGATGCGCTCTCACAAATGTTCTGACATTTTTTCTAGTTCCATTGCGTCCTGCAAGGCCTCGTGAAACACGGCAATGGCAAGTTTTATCCAAAGTTTACCACCAAGGAGTATGAGTCTGTTTACATGGCAATGCTCAGTCTACTTGAAAATGTCAAGAACGACCCTTATCACGGTCCCAAGCTGATGCATCAGCTTCGTGAATGGGCTCAAGCTGGATGGTCAGGCCTTTTTTTTTTGTAGTGTTCGACGCTGACAAATTTCTCAAGGACGGAGGCATGCAAATACGATGGCATCAACACATCGAAGCACCATAATCTACGAGTGCAGCTTGATTGAGGTTCCTGGCACTGTTTTCCGCAGGATCAACCGTCGTATCATGTTCTCGCATATCTTGTTTACTTCTCGTTTACTGTTTACCGTTCACCGTTTACTACTAGTGGTTTTGTGTTTTTCACTGATTCAATTATATCATGATTTTTGTGTGCTATTGTATCCGATTCAAATAAGCAGCTGATAATGAACACCCTCTGAGCAGTCTGTGAGTACCTGCACAAACCCGGACAGAGGTCTACAGGCATGACAGAGAAAATAATAAACCTATTTGGTAGCTATTGGGCGGCTCTGTGAGTATCTGTACAGAGATTGACAGAGAAAATTCTACTGTGGTGAACTGGCTAGTAAGGACCAAGCTGTCCACCTGGTGCTCTGGACAGATCTGTACAGATCTGTACAGAGCCTGGTAATTTACTGATGAACTCTACCCGTCATGGGAGCTACAATGGCCAGGACCCATCATGACAAAGACCGGAGCGGAGGAGTGGGAAATAGAGAAGATCCTGGATAAGAGAACACACAGACGCGGACTGCAATATCTCGTCCGATGGTGTCGTTACAGTCCTGAAGTGGATGTATTGGTTCCAGGCAAGGAACTGGAAGAAACTCATGTACTACAAGAGTACAACACGATGTGGTGTTCAAGCTCGGGCTAGCCTCGCAGAACCCCATTTCGCTATAGGAGTCAAGCAGCCTAGATATCCACATCGCATCCATACACCACTTCCTTGCAAAGTCTCGACTCACTCGACTCACCTATGTCGCGCCGGTCTATGTCCGACTTGGCCGATACGGATCCGTGGTCTCAGTCTCTCGCAGAAGAGCCAGGGTTGTCTTAACCGTCCCTTGCTCGTCAGATCGGCCATCGCGCACCTCGGCCAACCGTTCCGTCCCATCGGTACTGAATCCTCCCATGTCCTACCCATGTCCACCTATCTCCATTGGTGCCTTTTAAGCTTATTTTACTGTTACTGAACGAACAGCAGGCGTTATTACATGTATTCCCATGGCCGCAGCACTCGCGAGCCTTATTACATATCGACCCGAGTACCTCGCATTTCGCTACTACTCTTGCCTGTGCGATTCCGGACATTCACGCAGTTAGATAAATAGGACTCAAGTTCATATTATCCCTTACTTCCCTTCCTCGGACATTCCTGGTACCATTGTAGGAGTCACCTTAGTTAGTCTTTGATTGTGCAATTGATCCCCCTTGCTTTGATCATCGGACGTGCCTTGACCGCTCTAAGTGCACTCTATCTAAGGTTTCTTTACCTAGGCCTTGTGAGATCCAGACCGCTACCGGTAGTCTTACGTCAGCAACCCATACCTAGTCTTACCTAGTCATACCTAGTTATACCTGGACTCTCCTTACCTCGGCCTAGACTTACCTGCTGCTCATCAGCATTGGACTCCTCACCTCGCGTCGGTATCTTGCATCTGTGTCTTTCATCGGTATCTCACGTTGGTGTCTTTCATCAGTATCTCATGTCGGGTGTACCATCAGTATCCCATATCGCGTCAGACATTCTCGGACTCAGACCTTTGGTTGGTTGGATATCTCAGGTCTTAGACCTTAGTTTCTTCCTTTCTCTTCCCTCACACTATTAGAAGGAAGTGCTTCAATAGCAGTCCCCTTGGGTTGAAGTACTGCACTCGCACCCATTAGGATTTGATAAGTTAGTTGGTATATCTAGCTGACTACTATTTCTTTCACCACAGTGACACATATGAGGTCAGAAGAAGACAGATCCATACAAGATGATCATTCGAGGTCTGAAGAAGACAAACAAGAACGAACGACGCAGGAAGAAGTTGACACCGGTGTTTATTCTTCAGAGAATGAGAGGGTGTAAGCTCACCGCTTACTACATGCTTACATTATCACATGTCATGTGACCCATCCCCTTATATTCTGCCTCTTTTGTATTATTCAGACTAGACTCGGGTCTCCTACCTACCATCACATATCCATGGACCATTAGTACAACGCTCAAAGAATCCACAGTTTCGTCCTGTTACTTTTGCCTGATTCATTTAGTGTTCCTTGCTGTTTCCCCGAGCAAGGTTCCACTTAAGTAGTCAAGACTGTCGTCCCTTAACAGTTACGCCCAGACCATTAGGCCAAAAGGCAGTGATAATCAAAGCTCAAGCTTGATTATCGCGGACAGTATTTATGTTGATTATGGGAACTCAGGTAAGCAACGAGCTTACAACACCTTATCGAACCAAACCTCAGCTTGGTCTTTCACAGTCGTGTACGTCCGCTCCCTCTTCGTTGGTTGGCCCACCAGCCCGACCAAGCCAAACCCAACAACCTTTCCATCTTCCACGACAAATTCTGCCGTAGCCTCGGATGAGCCTATCTCCGATGTCTCAAAGGGTGTAGTGTCGCGCCCATATCCTTCTGGAAACAGCGAGGTGGGATGAACCACGAATGTATTTCCGGACCGATGCACACCTCGAATATGAGATGACCATATGCGAGGCCATGCTGCGAACAGCTGAACCGACTGGGGAGCAGTCGACTTTCCTGCATCCACCGCAGTAAAGTCGGAGATCACATCTTGACAATACGAGGAGCTGCTGGAAGGACTGCAAAAAGTGATGGCGCCATATCCAGCGTTGGTGTATGTGCCTGTGAACTCTTCAAGTGCAAGTTCCAAATCAACGACATTTTCGTTTGGAGGCGTGATTAGTTTCTTCTCCGACGTGTCGGGTTTACTAAAACGGTGATAATTGAGCAAAGGGAAGGGATTTGGCAATGAAAATAACGAACATCGGTGGTGATAGTTTTGACCGCAGTTTCAGAGCCACATCAATTATACGGTTGGAGATATTCATCACAGGTGTTGCTTTATCGCGGCCGTTGGCAAAAACGACGACCCCAATATTGTCATTTGGAAGGAATGAGGCTTGTGTAGAGAATCCTGGCATCCCCCCTGTGTGATATACGATCTGATACTCCGGCATCAGTCATCATGCACAATGACAGATGAACATTGGTTACATCGTGGCCTAGGTACGAGTACCTGCCCCATCCCATCCCATACCCCTGAATCGAGAGCTCGGGATCAACTGAGGCGCCGATGATTATGGAGTACGACTGCGATGCGTTTCCATACACAGACAGCGGTATGACTGTGACGTTGTTGTGCACGCCCTTGTTAAGCCACAATGCAACCCATTTCGACTGGATTGCAACAAACGTCTTCAGTTGGTAAATAGAACGAAGGAAAAAACACCTACCATATCTACGGCACTCGAAATCACACCGCCTGGACCGGCCACCAGAGTTACGATCTCTTCTGTGAAACATTCAGGTATGAGTCTGCCGCTGCTAGTCCATCCTTGAGTGAATCTGCCAGTCTTTACAGCCTTTGCGGGTGAAAACGTAGAAGAGGTCATTCCTAGTGGCGTGAAGATTCGATCCTCTACAAAAGAGGTGTATGTTTGTGCGGAGTAAGTTTCAATAATATGTGCGGCCGTCATGAACATCTGTTCGTAGATTAAGAAGATGCATTTAGCGCTTTGCTGAGACTACGTTACCTTGTTGTTGTACGACCACTGTTCCCGCAGTTCAAAAGATGGCCTTAGATGGCGCATTCGCAAGACATCATCTCTCGGGCTGTCGTGTGGTCCATACGAGAAGTCATGGCTAGCTCAGGCTCAATAAAATCTTGTGCTGGAGCATTGAAGAATTTGAGTCAAGCTTACCCAGCAAGGCCAGACACATGAGAGAGGATGTCCTTCATATTTGGTTTCTCGGACGCCCAGTCATCCATCAATTTCCATTCTCCCGGAAGGATATCCTGTACCAAGGTGTGCCAATTAAATTCCGATAGAGCGGGAGGAAGCGGCGTGACGTTTCTTCCATGTTCATAGTCGTCCATCAAAATTCCAAGAGCGCTCACACAGAAAGCCTTGGACACAGACGCCATGTGGAATAATGTCTGGAAATTACAGCTTCAGAGCTCATGCAAGAAGAAACATGAGCAGTTCGCACGTCTTTTGTTGTCTTGTCCCCGTCTTCTGTCATGTTTCCCCATGAATGAAATTCCGGTTCACCGTATCTCGGAACAACTGCGACAGATAGTCCAGTGATGTTCCAAACATCGAGGGTCTCTTGGATAGAGTTGGAGAGCTCTGAGGTGATAACCTGACCATTGTTTACCCAGACAGAATCAGCTAAGAACGATAGCTGGGAAAGATGACTGAATGGCTGGCTCAAGAAGCCTAATGCTACACTCAGCAGTTTAGCCATGGTATTGAGAAGAGGGTAGCAGAGTGGTCACTCAGTGACCAGCCTTGCGCTCGAACGAGACTAGAATAACAAACATCGTGAGAGCGAACTGCGGAAACAAAAGATGAGATCTAAGAGGCCTAGTACCAGCTTATAATTATCTTCTTCCCTACCGTCTTCACTCGAAGCCGTTCAACGATGTGCGGTGCCCAGTGAGCGCAACTCATGAAGATGCCTTGCGCATTTTTGCCCATTCCACGTATGTTTGCTGTATATCACTGTCCCCAAACTTCAAAAGCTGCATTAATATAGAGATTTTCAGGTCGTGTAGTCAAGATAAGAAACCTATGATCAGCTGATCTTCCGCTCGGGACGGTCTCAGAGTTCAGGTACGGTCTAAAAGGTACATACATAGTCACTGAATGATAAAGGGAGGCCAGGATGCTAGCACGGGTGGGTCTTCCGATGGTACGAGTCACCCGCGGGATTGTACATTGTGGATACAACTTGCGGGGACATAGCTATAGCTAGGTAAAGCGACGTATCATAGCTATGAGCAATCTACCAGCGTGTTTTCGATGCCACTAAAATGACAACATATGAGTTCATAGCTCTAGACCACACAATGAAATACCAATGATATCATTGTCGCACTCGTTCGAGGTCCGATTTTTCCACTTTAGCTCGTCGTTTCTTCTTGGGAGACTGAATCGGGGACGCCGTTCATTTATGATGGCTAGTGATCCGGGTGCCGAGGCTG